GTAGTAAGCAGATTTTGTCTTTTCTGTGCCAATTTATCTAACACGTAGCAGCTAGTCAGCCCTGCAGTGACTGCACTGCTTCGGGTTCTCCATTCTGCAGAGCAGATACCATCCCATTTAAACTTGTATAGTACAGAAGCATTTAGCTCTGAAGGTACATTTTCTTTTCTGAGCTAAATCCTGATGTTTTACTCCTTCCCTGATCTTGCTTCCTAGGAAATGTACAAATCCAGACAGTCTTTATCAGCTGGGGGTGTGGGAGGGCAGTTTTAGATGAAGCTCTTATAACTGCATTGCTTTCTTCCTGAGAAAAAACATAAGCAATTTAGAGAAATGAAAAAGCTAAATGAAGTCCTTAAGTGTTCCCCTTAGTCGCTTCCAAACTTTTTTCCTAATCCCTTTGAACTCCATCCTCTGTAGTTTAGTCAACAGCTTGTTTAGGATTAATTTTTTCCATCCCAATTACAAGATGCTGTGTATGTTTATATATATTATACACACACACAGATGTCCATCACAGAATAAATTAAAAAGCATAATCCATATAAAAGCCATAACAATTTCAAATTATCTGGAATCAAGAATAAAGGAATTAGTAGCATGATTAAGGCTGAAGTCAGAAAGTGCGTCTCTGAATGAATTCCTGAAGGGCTTTGCTGAAAACTTCAATCTCAATTTTCAGGCAATTGCCCCTGGTTTGGTATGTGTCTTCCAGTGGGAACACGACAGCTTTTTTTTGTTGTTTTAATTGAAGCCATGTCCCCATGAGTGGTTCCCCCCTTCAGCCAGCTCCAATCTCCCTAATTCTGCGAAAGCAAACAAAAGCATCCCAGCAAAGAGGCTGTTAAATCAGGCAGGCACACAGCCCTGTAAGGTTTGGGTGTTTCCATGGTCCTAAGCAACCATCTCCCCGCCTCGAAACAGAGCCGGCACTGGGGACATGGAGCATTACCAGCCATGGCTGAAGTACCACCCAAGCCACTGAGGCAGGCAGAGCCCCTCTGAGCTCCCCAAGCACAGCACCTGGATCTCCTGCTCCAGTAGGGGCCACAAGCACCTGCAAATGGCCAAACGAATACAGCAGCCCAGAGCAGGGGCCTCACAGGGACCGGCACCTCCAGCACCCACACACAGCCCCGGATCAGCCTCAGGCCGCACCGCTGTGCCCCTCGCTCCACCGGCAGTGCGGAGGGGCTGGGGTGGCTGGAGAACCCACCCTTGAGGGATGCTCCAGGCCACCCCAAGCAGGGCGCCCAGCCCAGGCTGGCCAGGGGTCCCCTGGGGTCCCCACGCTCCCTGGCAGCGAGGGCCAGGCTCACCCCGCAGCATTGCAGGGCAGGAGGAGCGTCTGGCTCAGACACAGCAACCATTAGCTCCATCTACTGCAATCATTAGGAGCCTCGTCAGAGCCAGGACAGGGAGTGACAGCCCCACAACCTCCTCAGTAACGTGCACTGGTGCTGGACTAAGGGGAAACTCCCAAAATCAACTAACCGTAGCTCAAGAGCTAGCTGCTAGCAAGAGCTGCAGGGAGAAAGCAGTGCACCTCCCTGGATCCCCTGCAAAAGCACTGCCAGGGACGACGCTCGGCAGCGCAAATCATTGCTTGGCTCAAGGGTTAAGAATAAACAGTATGCCTGAAAGGGCAAATCTATGGACATTTCAGAGAAGCAGGGGAACAACCTGGCAGCTGAGAACACATGGGCCATGAAGCAGCCCAGGAAACTTCCCCAGAAACACTCAGAAGCCCATTGTTTTTACTAATTCCTAATCCTAACAAAGCACTTAGGGAGCTGCTGATGAAAACTGCCTTATAGAAGAGGAAGGGACCCTTTGTTTGGGGTGTGTGGACACGAGCTGCAGAGGATGACCATAGCACAGCCAGGTCATTAGCAAAACACAAGCATTAACACCTATGAAAGACATAAGGCCCCAACGGGCTACAGGGAAGAGTATTTGTCTACAAAACACTTCCCTGCATCCAGAGAAACGCACACATTAAGAGAACATGGCCCATATCCCTGCAATGCTGCTAAGGGTGTAGAAAAGACATTTCGTACCACCTGCAGCAGCTTTGCAGCAGCAGTGCTAGTTGCACATGCCCTCACTGGAATTTGTGTGATGCTGAAGAGCAGCAGTATTGGGGTGCACAGGACTGCAACCTGCCAGTTTCAAGTTAAGGCCAAAGCTAATTAAAGTTCTGAAAGCAGATTATATCACATGCCTTGGTCCAGCCTTTATATTTGTTTGTACAGCACCTTCCCACTTTGACTGTGGACACGGACTGCGTGACTCTACCACGCATCCAAAGGTTAGGACAGCGTTTCACAGAACAGGACTGCTTTTCCACTTTTGGGAACAAGGTGAAAGAGCCATGCTGAGGATGGACAGAAGGAACAGATGGAGGACTGCAGCAGACATACAGCAAAACTCTCTCCACTGCCACATTGCTGCAATCTGCTATCAGTCCTTTTGTCAGGGTGGGCAAGAGGACATGAGCTGTTGTGGGGTGACGAGAGCTGAGCATCTTGGGACTCAAGTGTACTGGGACTGCTCAGCTGCACTTCAGCACTGTGCAGTTTGTCTGGACACGTGAACACCTTCTAGAGTTTTTCCTCTGGCAATCTGTATTATTGAGACTATCCTAAACACAGCCTTACCTTTAGTATCTTGGGAAGACACCTGTAGAGACTCCCTAATGACCTAAGCACTGGGCACCTAGGAAATGCCGTATAGTGTCAGAGGAATTCACAATTGCTTTTTTACATAGAGAAACGTGTATCTCTCTCTGTCTCTCCATACACCGAGGTGGTATGATCCAAAGAGATGTAAGGCAGCCTCCCAGATTCCTCTGCAAGCTGAAAACTCACTATCTTGGCAGTGATACCTCTGAGGGAAACAACATTGTCTTAGGTTCACTGGAACATCAGAAGACCTTGAAAAATTACTATGATTATATTTAAGTCCATGTGACTTTTCAGGGCACAGATTTCCCCTGCAAAGAAGTAAAAATTTATTAATAAACTGAAATAGTTTCACAAAAAAAACAGGAAAGCAGG